TTGCTTTCTGAAACCAGAAGAAAATCTCCAGGAAAGCGCCCGGCAGGTGGCCAAAGGACATGCTGCTGGGCCGCCAAGGGCGCCGGGAAGGGTTTAAGGGCAGCTTAGGGCGCCGGGAAGCGTTTAAGGCCAGCCTACTGCCTAACGTTGCTTTCTGAAACCAGAAGAAAATCTCCAGGAAAGCGCCCGGCAGGTGGCCAAAGGACATGCGGCGAGGCCGCCAAGGGCACCGGGAATGGTTTAAGGGCAGCTTAGGGCGCCGGGAAGGGTTTAAGGCCAGCCTACTGCCTAACGTTGCTTTCTGAAACCAGAAGAAAATCTCCAGGAAAGCGCCCGGCAGGTGGCCAAAGGACATGCTGCTGGGCCGCCAAGGGCGCCGGGAAGGGTTTAAGGGCAGCTTCGGGCGCCGGGAAGCCTTTAAGGCCAGCCTACTGCCTAACGTTGCTTTCTGAAACCAGAAGAAAATCTCCAGGAAAGCGCCCGGCAGGTGGGCGCCGGGAAGGGTTTAAGGGCAGCTTAGGGCGCCGGGAAGCGTTTAAGGCCAGCCAACTGCCTAACGTTGCTTTCTGAAACCAGAAGAAAATCTCCGGAAAGCGCCCGGCAGGTGGCCAAGGACATGCTGCTGGGCCGCCATCGCCTAGGCAGGTGGGCGCCGGGAAGGGTTTAAGGGCAGCTTAGGGCGCCGGGAAGCGTTTAAGGCCAGCCTACTGCCTAACGTTGCTTTCTGAAACCAGAAGAAAATCTCCGGAAAGCGCCCGGCAGGTGGCCAAGGACATGCTGCTGGGCCGCCATCGCCAGAAGAAAATCTCCGGAAAGCGCCCGGCAGGTGGCCAAGGACATGCTGCTGGGCCGCCATCGCCTAGGTGCTCCTCGGACGCGCTCCCCCTGCCATCGTCTGGGGTCGGCGGATATACGTGTGTACAATGAAGAGGGTGAGTGAAAATGGTTGGATTTCATGTCAAAAACCATGTTGGAGATGGAGGATCATACTCCTGAAACTATTGTAGTAACCACTTAGTAACCCCTAGTGATCAACATTCAATTTGGTTTTTGAGTTCGAGGCAATGGCAATGGCGACCACGATTTCCTGTTTGGAGTTATCGATGTTAAATTTACGGTTGAGACGAGCATATGCAGTTAGATTAGGTACGCGGCAATAATCATAAAGGATTGGTTTCCAGTTGTTCGCATTGATGTAGACCGGTGCCCACTCGTAACACCGCTCTGTAGTAGACCCTCAAAGGGGCCAGGAAATGAAGAAGTTCAAAGGTCAGCGTAATTACTTATCCAGGATGGATACACTAACAGTAGCATATGGAAAATGGCGTAAGCGTTTTGTCACTGTCAACGCACAAGCAAAAAAAAACAAGACGTCATAGCAGTCGAGTATTTTTGGCAAGGATTCAAATCAAGGTGGGTGATTTGGAAAACGGACATGTGTAATACTTAGCTTAAGATCCAGAGGTCGGAGGCTTATAACGATGACTGAGTTGAAATTTTCTCACCTGACACTGCCATGCAAGGATTGGTTTCAAGCGTAGTCTTGAGGGGCAACATGAGGCCATATTTTCAGGTTATCTTGACATATGTTCCCCACCTTTGACAGTTTTTGCAGCATGTTTGGGAGGGAAAATGATGATGATCTGCTAGTCTGCTGGAAAAGAAAATTGATAAAATTGCGCCCCATTTTCGAACGAACCATTCCCATATTTCAGTTTGCTCATGTTCATCATGCTGAGGTGTTACTCAGGTTTAACCGGCATCAATGCCATAGAGATACAGCCGGCTGGAAGCATTCAAAATTTTAGCCAACCATCGGCCACTTCTCCTACATCCTTTCCTAAGATCAAGTACTTCCCAATGGAAATCCTGGTTTAATATTGCATTGGTTCATTGGTTCAGCCCCGGAGCTGATCCACTCCCTGGTCCCCAAGTTATCCAAGTTCAATGGCTCCCAAGGTGGTGTCCAGCACTCGAAGTTTGGCCCATGAATTCGACAAGTTCCAGGATCGGGGCCTCCTCCCTCTGGGTCCCGAAGGGTTCCTAGGCTTTGCACCTTATGTGAGGCCCAAAGCCGTTGTGAAAAAGTACAGGAAACCAGTGGGAAGGGATGATGCTTCAAGGGATTTGAAGGGGCAAAATCCGTTTGCCGCGCCGAATTCACTACATTCACTGAGCGCACCATAGCGCACCTGTGAAATTCTGTGAGGCAAAATCTAAAGTGGCTATTGAAGTGTAGCCCTCAGTTTTGATGTTGTAATTGATGTTCCAATGTTTCGATGCGTTTCTTTATTCCATGGTGGATTTGGACATGGGGCCCAAGGGCCCAAGGGTTTGGAACCTGAGAGTTCCCCTGCATGATAAATTGTCACTAGCACTGGGCATCACTGGCACCAAGGGGCCCCGTTTCTATCCGTTTCTGATGAATCAACCACTTGGTGTTCAACCCGTGAACCTGCGACAAACATAGCACAGGAAAAAATGGTTGATACAAAATCAATATGAACTTTTGAACCCCATAGAGCACATATGGCTGATTTATATTGTTCTATGACATGTGTGACTTTTGATGTTGGATGTTCCATCGTTCATTCCAGGCATCCGCGTCACAGTGAGGTATCTCAAGGCATCGTAAAGGCCGCCCAGAGGTTGAACAACTTGCAGGCCATGGCAGCAGATGGGCTGGACAAAATGGAGTGAAGATGTGTTCTACTGTGCATATGTATATATATATACATATACCGTACTTGCTTATGTATCTATATAAGTTTGTATGTGTTTATTCATAGGTTTATATATATATTACATGTGTGTGTGTGTGGATGTACATGTGATGTCATGTCATGCATATGTAACGCAACTTACAGGTAACAAAACGCAAGGTAATTGGCGTAACGCAACGAACACAGCGGTATCAATGTAACAACTATATAATGTAATGTTTATAATGTAATGTTTATAATGTAACACAACGTAATGTAATGTAATCTATGTGTCAATTTGCATCAAAGATCAATACACAAATATTGTTGTTTAAGATATTTATATAGATAGATATTTATTTGTTTATCTCCTGTACATAGGTACATATGTGTGCGTGTGTGTGTGTGAACTGGGAAATGGTGGCATTTAGATATTGGGAAACATCGGGTAGACGAACATTGATATTTGTTTGCCATAAATGCACGGTATTTGGCGTTTTGCCATGTTTGTAGCTTGAAGCGGTGCAACTGCAAAAACGAAGCAGTGAGGTAAAAAATCATCACCTGCCCAGGCGCTGTCTGCCGAGGCTCTTTTGGCATTCAACTCAGATGGGCCCAACAGGACCCTCAGATTAGTTGAGAAAACTCAGATGTGGGGGCCTTCCCAAGTCACTTGCAGATCGCACTCATAGGTTTTGATCAGACCTCTGGCAAACCTATGCTAATTACCAGGCCCTAGGCCATCCAGATCCTTTTTGAGAGCCATCCAGAAATCGCGAGCTGCGCTGTTTTCTGTTAGATTCTGTTAGTAAGTATATTCTTAAGATTCCTATCCATCCATTGTCCGAGGCTCCAGATCGAATCAATGTCTTGGCGAAGAAGCTCCATGCTTTGGAGGCCTGCCATGGCACCTGCCATGGCCTGTCCTGGCGGTCGTCCTGTTGGTCAATGATTTTTGGTGATTGGATCCTGACATGTCGGATGCATGAAATATTTTCGCAACAAATCCACGAGAAACGAGTATGTTGATTTTGACGGCCCCTGAAGATTTCTCAAGAGATTTGTTTTAATAGAGAGAGAGAGAGAGTGATCCCGGGGGTTCATCCAAGAAACATCTTTGGCCAGGGCAATGCTAGCGAGGCGGATGAGGCGCAAGGGCTTGAAAATGGTGGATACCCCAAAATTGTTTATAATGGGGAAAATGTAATCATCGCATATGCATTACATACATTAAGCTATGGATCTAGGGCCGACCTATTTTTAAGAGAAAGCCATACTTCCCAAGTCTTCCAGATTGCAGGGCATCAAATCGGAACCGGTGACCGTTCAACCCAGGGGCTCCTAAATGAGTTGGTGACGACCAAATGACTGCCTCAGGGATTTTCATCACATGTCATCGCATGGCTTAAAACATGTTAAAACAATCACGGTGGTCTCATCATTTCTTCACACATTTGTGGACTTTCCTATCCTCAAATGGCCTGCCATGAGGTCAGCAAGGGTATCAACCAGTTGCGGGAGCAAATAGCCAAGGTCGAGGCAGCTTCGATGATTTGCTGTACACATGGTGTTTTTGTTTTGGACAAGGTTAGGTGCTAATCAACATAAAAACCATTTATGCTAATTTATGCACATACACATGTACATGCACAACTATGGTGTTTTCTACTGTTTGCACATTTGCAAATACATGTACTTGTTTGTTTATTTACATGTGCACATGCATATAGATAGATGTGTTATTATTGCTACTCTGAATGTGAATGTGTATATTGATGTTGTAGCCATTATCCTCTGGGCCCTCTGGGCTCCAAAATGCTCCAAATGTTGTTTGTTATGTTTGTTGTCCATGTGAATTTTCTGTTTGGACATCCTCAACTATTTGGTTCACCCAAAATAAAAACCTTGGAAGATCCTTGTTCAATGATCATCCATCATCACATCCCCTCCGGTAAGAAAACATGGCAATGGGACATCACAAATGAAAGTTTGAATGGAAAAAAACCCTATGGCAATGGACGTTTTTCCATTGCCATGTTTGATTACCAGAGGGCATTTTCTAGATATCAGACTATATCTCGCATGGTGACAGACTTGTAGACGTCCGATTCATAAAAAGAATTGATAGATTTGACAGTGAGCCCGTTGACAATTTTAGGCGGACTGGGTAGGGAAGAACACGGACGTGAAAGATTGGTAAATTATGGTAAATTCGGGACCATGATCAGGAGGAGGCAGCTGATTCACTGAAAGCAGGAGTCTTAGATTGGCTCTGGATGCCTTGCTGCACCTTTTCACATGCCATCAGTGGTTCTGGAGGTGTCACACCACGTTTTGATCAAAGTTTCGACGATCGATGGCTCAGAGGTCGCAGACGCCATTCACAAATTCTCTGCAAGCATTGACGATTTCCAGGTGGGGCTGCATAACCCAGGTAGCCTTGCAAACTTATGCTCCTCAGACAAATGTGACAGATCTTTCATACCTGCAATACGTTCAATTGTGTTCAATCTATTTAGTCTCTTGGTGCCAGGTTATCAGGAAAATCAGGTCATGCGACATGTGAATCAAAGCGCATCCAGCAGGACCAAACACATGATGTCGTCAACGCGGGAAGCTTGGTTTCTGAGCCAAAAAGGCCTCCGAGATCGTGTGAAGGAGATCCTTCCAAAAGCTGCTATTAGATCCAGGTCCGATATTAATGGCAATAAGATGTACCCCCTGGTAATTTAACATAGCTATTGAAAATGACCCATTTATAGATGGTTTACCTATTAAAAATGGTGGATCTTTCCATGGCTATGTTAAATAACCAGATGGTAATTTCAGAATATTCCATGATTCCATTGCTATGTTGGCATCATTGGCATCCTATGATTCCAAAAGCTGCTACCTGGAATCCAGGTCCGAAACGCGATCCGGGACTTCGCGGGCCGCGTGGAGAGTTTCAAGGAGCAAGCTTCGGAAGACACATCACAGGTGGAGATCTCAGGCCCCAGGATCTGCAGATCAGATACCCGGCCTGGTAAACTAACATCAAAACTATGGAAAGATCCACCATTTTTAATGGGAAAACTCACTATTTCAATGGCCATTTTCAATAGCTATGTTAAATTACCAGAGGGTATTCATCCTAGAATCCTAGCTGGGTTGGTCTGAAGATTTGGAAAACATTGGAAAACCATGAAAAAGCCCTGGGATTCACTGATGAAAAAGCTGCATGTTCCCTTTAAACGTTGCTGTTCAGTCATTGATACTCGAAATACCTCGTCAGCCTGGGCCTCTTCTCTTTGTGTCAAAAAATGATGAGAATTGCATGCAATATGAAGAAAGAATACGATTCACAATTGTTTTTTTTGGCTACTGTATACATCACAATGTCATTGCCAGCGTCGCCGGCGAAATTGCTTTCTTCTTCTTCTTCTTCATCATCATCATCATCATGATAATCATCATCAGCATCATCAGCATCAGCATCAGCAGCAGCAGCAGCAGTAACCGCATTCTGTGGGTCACAAGCTGCTGGTTTCTGAGGCTACAGCAGGGATCAGCGACTTGGATTCTCAGCTGGGAAGACTACAGGAAACTGTTGCAGTGGCTTTCTCAGCTGGACTTGGGTGGTCTTTTCTGTTGTTGACCCTTTGCTGCGGTCCAATGATGACGATAGTATAGTGACAGCGATGGCAATGATGACAACGATGAGGACGACGACGACGACGATGAAGATCATGATGATGATGATGAGGAGGAGGAGGAGGAATCATTATGGTATTCTTACATATATATATATATATTATTGATAATTTTAGTTCTTCAAATACGTTCATTTGTCTGTTTATTAGTCTTGCTGTTGTTGTTTTTACTATTGTGACGGTGTGTTGTTTTTATTTTTCGGTCAAGCCTCATGTTCACTAGTTGCATTTATATGCATTTATTTTAATATGTAATAATATGTGTATATATATATAATTATATTTGTATTTGTGCATATGTATATATATACATGTACATGTATAATAGTGCATGTGTATGTGTGTGTGTATATGTATATGTATATGTATATGCAATATGTAATCTGTAATCTGTAATCTGTATATGTAAATGTATACGTATATGTATGTGTATGTGTATGTGTATGTATATATATATAGATAGATATATTCTTTCTTTCACTTTCACTGGCGCTAAAGGAATCCTTTGCTGCCTCACGCAATGCTCTCGAATTTACAAAAGCAGCAATCACCCCTGATAGTCTGGCAACCACGTTGCTTCAGACCGGATGTGGCCGCACTCACGTGCAACCTCGTTGATCCACTGTACGAGGGGTGTTGCAGTGCGGTCAGTAGTGCGTACTGCTCGTGCCCGGATATTCCTTTGTAATTGCTGCGCCACAGCGCATGCGATACCCGCAGACAGGCGTGGTGGATATTCCTTATGACATGCCTTGCGGAATTCACCGGGTTCATCTACTCCTATGGCGTGAGATCTATTGAGATCTCGGCCTGATCGCACGTTCGTCGGCCTGGCTGAAGAGATCGCAGCGTCAAGCCTGTCGACTTGACTGTCGCCGCTCCGAATTTCCACTGCGCGATCTCATGTAGCACGATGTCCGGGCGGTTCCTGAAGAACTTTGACTAGGCGCTTTTCCACACAGAGGGGTGGAGCGCCTTCAAAGGGATGCCCGGGTGTTCCTCAGGGGGTGTCAAATCTAATCAAAGCCCCAACGGAAGTCATGTTTATTCGCCCGAATTTTTGCAGGCTGTGCCCTTGGATTAGGATGGCCAAAATCTCATTCAAATAGGGATGAATAGGGTTTGTTTTCTGTTGCTGTTTTATTTGCTGCAATTGTGAGGTCAGTCACAAAGTACATTGTTTCACTGCAAGATGGTCATTTGTTCCGATTTGGCGCTACCTGTTGCACATTACAATCAGCACCGGAAACTACAAGATGCAGCCTTCAGCACTGAGGGCCCACCAGTGAAAGAGGGTGCATGTCTTCATGCAGTCGAAACTGTAAATAGTCGGCTGGCTGATACTTGTAGCATTGTAGGCAGTTTGGTGATATTTGGATATATGTGGTGCGCATTTCTGACATTTTCTTACACATTATCTCTTTGTGTGCTTGTCCTTTTCATTTGCGTCTCAGTGTTCGAGAGTTTTCCGACAGGGCTGGTGGGTCAAACATCCCAGGTCAGTCGCAACAGTTCGAAGGCTTCAAAGGTGACTGGTCCGGGATGTTGAAATACAATCCTGGGGAGATACACATTAGATATGGAGATTTCATGAGATTTCTTCAAACGGAATCCTTAATCCTTAGCCAGATTACAGATTACAAAGTTTAGGATGTTTGTGGATTACACGATTACACACACACATATATATATACATACACATATATATACATACATACATATATATATGTATGGTCTTGACGGATTACGTATTAAAAGCCACAACCCCCGGAAAAGATGATGACCGGCATGCTGATTTGAAGAAATGTTCTTGGGTTTTCTCTTGTGAGTGTGGTGTTTTGATTTGTTTTTGAGATCTTTCAGATCCCCCGTGTTTTGGTTGTGTTTCTCCTTTTCCTTGAGCGCAATCCCCAAAAGTTGCCAATTCCCTAGATTTGAAAACTTCGGGAGCGACCTGGAAAACCGCCCCATGTTTAAATAGGTACACCCCTCAATGTGTATCATCATGTTTATCATTCATAAATTTAAATGCGCCGTTTTCATCGATTTTCCATGGCAAACTGTTGAATAGCCAGAGGGTGGATGGAATGGATGTCTAAGACCCAAGATACTCTAGGATTTCCAAGAGTAAGTTTGATGGTAGATTATTGAACGTGTTTTTTGGCTCCATTTCATCCCATTTCACTCACATTCTGGACATGGAAAATCATGAGATGCGAAGAATGCTAGGGCACCGGCGAGGCCTGGGAAGCTCAGTGACGTGGGAATTGCTTCATGGGAAGCATCCTGTGCCTGAACTACCCTCTGGTAAACATACCAGAAGCTATTGAAAATGGCCATTGAAATAGTGAGTTTTCCCATTAAAAATGGTGATTTCCCATAGTTATGATGTTAGTTTACCAGAGGGTAGTTTTCGATATTTTTCCTGTGATGTTGGAGTCAGTGTTCCACGAGGTCACGCATGCAGTGAAGGGACTAGCAGATCAGATGGACGTACTCAAGGCCTGCAGATCTGGCAGATGCCCAAGCAATAAGAACCAAAAGCAATTGCTACAATACATTACAATACAACAATACTGTAACATCCTGTAACATCCTGTAACATCCTGTAACTGGATTAGCTCGTAACATACCCTGGTTACTGTAGCGGGGTCAATGTTTATGGGATTCATGGGATGAACATCCACCTAGCAATGTGCCGCACCAGAACCAATCGATGAACGCGATGAAAGTGGCAACCTGAGATTCTGACAGCAGACAGCAGCTGCCCTGCTGTGAAAAAAGCCACGTGGCGTTTGGAAATCCCTTAGAAACGGAAGTTTATAGTATACTATAGCCAATCATCATCAATCATCTATAAATTTTGTGAATGTCCAATTGCCATGTTTGAGTACCGGAGGGTCAGTCCGCACCGAAAAACCCATGTAGATGTTGTGTTTGTGCTGAAAGGCTGAAGGCTTGTGGATGGACATTTGCGATTCAAATCAGCAGATCATAGCAGATCCCATGTTGTCAGGAATGTTTTCTGAGACTCCATGTGACTGGTGAAAATCGCATAAAATCGCCAGCGCCATTTTGTAGGTCGTCAACACCTTGGAGAAGTTCACAGGTCAGGTGGATGACGTCAAGGTACGTCCCCCACCATGGGGTGTCCCACCGGTTGCGCCGTTCCAATCGTTCCACAGCACAGGTGCCCGGGGACATCGTGGATGTGTGAAGCTCAGTGAAGCTCGGGGAGAGCCAAAATTCAGCGCTCGGGAGGGTTCAAGATGTTTCAAGTGCATAAAAAACCATTAAAAAAAAAACATAAAGAAAAAACACTAAAAAACCTTAAAAAACAAGTATTTTCAAGTCAGTTTCCGCTTGAGTTCTTTGGATATCTTTGGATCCAGGACAATCCTGCTGGATTATGACTTTCCAGAAACAGTTGGGAATTTGCTGGTCATCATCCCAACTGACAAAGTCCATCATTTCTCAGAGGGGTAGGTTGAAACCACCAACCAGCCTGACATTGGTTGGAATGCATGGAACCCCCCATGTCAAAGCAGATGGATACCCTCTGGTAAACTAACGTTTAACTGTTTAACTATGGAAAATCACCATTTTTAATGGGTAAACCCACTATTAAATTGCCATTTTCAATAGCAAACTGTTAGTTTACCAGATGGGTACCTCCTGAGGTTGCTGGTAGTATCGACAAGTTTGCGGGGCAGATGGACGCCTTGAAGGTCGCCGAAAGCGGTTGAAAACGTCCCAGGCATTGAAAGTTTCCTCAAATGAAGCACTTCCCTTAAAGTAGGTGTGGATTTATGATGATTTATGTGGATGTTCTGCTCATAACAAGATCAAGATCTAAAGATATCTAGAGAATTCTAGAGATATTAATAAGATATCTCAGATCAGTATCTTTTTTGTCGCCCAAGTTCTGCGGTACCAGACTTGGAGAAATAGCTATCGTTGTGCCCACAGGAGAAAGCCAAGAGTGCAGAGGAAGTCGGAATCCTAGAGCCCAGACATGGATCAGCATGGCCATTCAGCATGGCCATTCGCCTAGTTTGATTAGGCCTAGGGTGGCACCACAAAAAGCATAGTTTCGCCATGATGATACCGAAGTATCCTAGAGAAACTCGTCAGCAAATATCCCCCATCATATCCCCGTATCCGACTTCTATCCCCATCATATCCCCGTATTGGTTCTAATTCTTCACCTGGTTTCCAAGGTCCAGGCGGCCGTGAAAGAGATGGACGAGAAGATCAAAGCCATGCAAGGAAAGACGGCAGGTGCCCTGGGCGTGCACTACTCAGTCAGGTCCAGTGGGTTTTTATATGTTTTTTTATACCTGGAGGGTCGAAACCCTGCAATTTTCTGCAGGTTTTTTCATGGATTTTCTGTGCTTGGCTCAAAATCTGCAAGTATCTTGAGCAAGCATTCAGAATAAGCATCCATAACCACCTGTGCCTTTAAGCTTGTCAAGGGGTATGAGTCGGTATGAGGGTTTCGATCCATACCGACAGACAGGAACGAAATGATAGTACCCAAGAATAATGTATGTTTGTGGGTGTTTGCCGGTGCATGGTGCCTGTTTCGTTGGGATGTAGAAGTTCCTGACATCCAACACCAAAGATCGGGATTTATTGGGGTAGCCTCTGGTAAACTAACGTTTAGCTATGGAAAATCACCATGGGTAAATCACCTATAAATGGTCCATTTTATCGAGGCCACAGATGGCCTAAAGAAGTTGACGGACGAACTTGATGCCATGGAGGTTGGTTCGGCACGGTGATTGGTGAGGTGTGGGAGGGGATTTCTGGCTCCTTGAAACCACTAGGTCATGTGCATGCATATCTATTATATGTATAGCATAACAATAATTATTATTATATATTAATTATATGTATAGTGGTATTATGGTCATTTTGGCCATTTGTGTATGCATACTGTATGTAAGGTTATGTTTGTGTTATGCAGTATCGTGTAATGCGATGTAACGTATGTAATGTGGAGTACTTTAATGAAATGTAATGTAGTGTGGCTTATTGTACTGTAATGTAGTGTAATGTACCTTGTGTAATGTAATGAGATTTCATGGTGTGGTATTGTATGGTATGATATGCTATGCATGTATGTATACACATAGGTGTGTGTGTGTGTGTCCGAAGCTCTCTGTTTATATCCATACATATACATATTTTATATATACAATAAATGTGCACCTGTGTAAATAAAGTTATTTTGATGTATATTTTTCATATATACTGATTACCAGACAATGTCCTCACAGAGGGCTGCCTTGACAGGGGACCAGTTCGCAGGAGGATCGTGCCAATGATGGCAACTGTAGGGGGATGTGAATGTAGGCTTTTCTGATGGTGGGCACCTAGGGAAAGAGATTTTGAGTGCAACTAGTAGTAACTAGTAGCAGTTAGTAGCACTAAACTATGGATATTGAGAGAGATATTTGTCTTATGGCTGTGGGCTCATCAAAATTGAGAGAGATGAGCTTCTGAATGGGGGAAATGGGCCCTGGGACCATCGTCGTGGCATGTCGTGGCCAGAGCGAAAAAAAACATGTTGCCCGGTAGATTCGATCAACATCAATCAACTGCCATGCTAGGCCTAGCCTATTGAAACATGTTGAACATCTATCAACAAGGATTTTGAGACACGATTTCCCAAACATCGGAAACATCGCAAATGAATGGAAATGAATGGAAATGATGGATTGAGATGGATTGAGAGCCATATATAGAGCATTATAGAGCCATATATATAGAGGATCTTGGGGGATTGGTGATATCGGTGAATTGTGACAACCTATCACTGAGCCAGACGGGATGGGTCAGGCCAAAACTCGGATAGCAGTGAGGGCAGCAACCTCAGTTGCTTGTGTCGCTTGAAAAATGTGCCCTGCAGCCATTTGTGCAGCATCAAGAAATGGTATGGAGAGATTCTGCGTAAAGTTTTTTGTGGGTTACCTTTGGCGAAAGATGAAACCCTGAGAGCGAAAGCAGTGCGACAGTAACATTCTCGCGATATGTCGCGAAAGTTGCCGCGGAAGTGGGAGATGATTGGCAGACTTAAATCTAGTTCCCTCAACTTTGCATACTGTAATCTGTATTATATGTGCTATTGGTTTGTTCAGCGAAAGCCGCCGCGAAAGTGGACATAGCCAAAATGGCGTTGCGAGCGAAAGAAATGCCGAAAGCAGGAGTAAAGCCATGTCGCTACCATATTTTTAATATTTTTTGATGCTGCTCATTTGGGCCTTTCGGGAGTTTGGAAATCCTTGGTGGGTCTTTAGAGTAATTTATGGCATTTCTACATTTTAATAGAATTAGCTCAACAAAAAGTGCAAGAACTTTCCTGTATGACTGGCAAACACAGGGTCACTTTTCTTGGCATGTTCCCTTAGATCAACCTGCCTTCCATGAGATTTTCCACGCAAGAGCTATATGTACAGACAGGAAGATAGATCCTTAATTATAAAATGACGATGACAAACTTTCAGAACCCAAGCCAGTTTGAGAAACGGCGTTGTTTTTTGTGTTCCAGATCACCAAAGTTTTGATGCTGGAAACGCCTGGTCTCCCAAAACGTCTCGGAACATGTAGAAGATGCAGGTAGATATAAGATATAAAAATATAACTAGTGGTAGGAGCAGGTAGCTAGGCAAATAGCTAGAGTCGCTGCTTCCTCAAGATAGATTCGATAGCCTTTATCGATTCTCAGGCCTCTTTGTCTCTTGTTCTCCCACGGCCTGGGTTGTTTCCCATCTTTTCCCATTCCTTGAGGTGGCCAATGGTATCAAAGCAGTCGCCAGCCAAATGGCAGTTGTGAAGGCCATGGCCTGAAGATGCCAGCCAGAAATTGCTTGATCTTTTGAAATGAGATGAATCCGGGCGTTTTCACAAATGGGGGATCCCCAAAATTGATCAAATATATATGTGTATATATAATTTTATATAATTAGATATATGTATATATAGATATAGTTGGGTATATAAACGTTTATAACATTTATAATGGAAAATATCTATGAACACGACGAGTCGATGTCGATGATTTTTTCAAGGACTGTGAGACAGTCGCCACCAGGCCAAGGCCGGAGACACCATGAACGTTGCAAGCTTAGCCGGAGAGATACCCTCTGGTTATGTCAAAATAGCTATTGAAAATGGTGATTCATAGTGGATTTACCCATTGAAAATGGTGATTTTCGATAGTTAAACGTTAGTTTACCAGAGGGTATGCCTGATTTCTGGTGATGATTTGGAGAAATTCTGATGGATATAGATGGATATAGGACCTTTTTTAGATTGGGGTAGCTCCCAAGGGGCTAAACTATTCAGATTATTCGGTTTGGTAAATAAGTAGAATTTCTCCAGATGATGATATTTAATGTCCAATCGTCTGGTGATTTTTTAAGGTTCTGAGCAGTGAATTGTGAAACGAAAACATGGTGGCTGCTTGGTTTCAATCTTTGTCTCCTTTCCAAACAGAGAAGGAGTCCTTCAATAGTTCAATGATTATGGCCAATGTTTCTTGCTGCGGACGGAGAACAGAACCTCAACGTGGCAGTTCTGATTTACCTGTCTGGCACATCAAACCCCGAAAAAGTACCGGCCAATCATCCCCAAATGCTGGCATCAAAGTATTTCTAGAGTTTACCCTGCGGTAATCAAACATGGCAATTGAAAGTCCGGCATATAATATGGTGGTTTTATGCGGCAAAATCCGTAAATGGGGGGAATCTTCCATTGCGTTGCCAGATGGTATCTACTCCCAGTCCGGTCACTGTTCCCTGTTACACTGTCCAGGTCAGCAAAGAAATGGGTGAGCTAACGACGCAGCTGGACGGGTTGAAGGTGCCATGGTAGACAGGGCAACCTGTCATTTGTGCCATGGATGGGTATGAAATACCAAAAGGAAAACCTGGAGGTGCGGAAGATTCGCGAAAGTCAAAAAAAAATAATTTTTGATTCGCGAAGAATGGCCGTTTGCTGATGAAAGAATTTAGATCAACCGGATGTATTAAGGTTTAAACCCTCAAATTGTGGCCCTTTTTTCAGAGCCCAGATGTTGTATTTTCCCACATATTTGTCGTCGTTTTGTGGCTGCATTGTGGCGTCGGCTTTGGGCTTGGTCTTTTTGGCATTTCAGCTTTTGGAGTTGGTGACTGTTGGTGTTTTCCTCACTTTTTGCAAATAATCACTGGATTGGTTGAAGGAAAAATCTTAACCGGAAACCATGGGTTTTCCCCATGAAATATAGGGCTTTCCTGTAATGCTTCCTTGAAGCCAATCCATTGAAATAACTGTTTCCCCATTTGGGAATGGTTTATACTACCTATTTTTGATTGTTTCACCAACATGAAGTGTTTGGCGCTTCTTCGGAGAAGATCAGCATCAAAAATCCTGAATCCGCCAGGTGAAAACCGCGGCGGCACTGAATGTAAGGAGCTCAGCCCCTCCGGTCATCAGCAGCTGGCATAGCTGCGAAATCCCCCCCAAAAGCCCAAAAAGTTGATGTTTTCATGGGAAAATCATCGAACTAAATGGTGGAATCTTCCAGCAAGCCACGGAGCTGATGACTGGATGGAGGATATAGCAGGGCATATATCCAGGGCATATATCCGGTATATTGAGAACTATCATGGCGAACTTGCCGGTGTCATTTTTGGTTTTGTCGGGATACTCAACCAACTTGGCGATCTCACATAGGGCCTATAGGGTGGTTTTACCCGATGGGAATCGGAAAGGGTTCCCTCTTTTGGGCACATGAGGTATCATGACGTAAGAATGCAAAAGACCTTTCATCCGGTAGATCTGGCAGAGGGAATTCCTCATTGAAAATTGATCTATATATAAATGGAAGTTCTTCTGAATCAAAACTGTTCCATTGCTAGGTCTCTTCCACCATCAAGACCTTGACTGAGAAATTGCAGGTCTTGAAGGTGGGGAAAAGATGGGAAACTGACAGAACTCTACAAATGTTGGCTGGTTCAAACGGTATCTTTTCAACCTCCTACTTGGGATCATCACACGCAACTCTTTTTCTGCAGATGACAAGTTAAAAGGCTTGCAATTTGAGTCGGAGTGCTGGGTGTTTCTGCCTGGTTTGCTTTTCGCTGGCCCAGAAAAATCAATCTGCAGATGCTGCCGGATGCCCAGATGGACACAAAAATGATAATTTGGAAGTTGAGTCAGGTAGCTCGAAGTCAATCCGATACCAAGAAAAGCATGGCCAAGGTGGAGCGCACCAAACAGTTAGCCAGCGATATCCAGCAGTTGAAGTATTCGGTGGAAATTGCTGCACTCAACGCCGGGGTCCTTAGATTCCTCGGAGTGACGGTCGCCTTTTGGACCCAAAAAAAACCCGAGGCGGTCCACAGCATCAACCAAATGGCGTCACAAGCCAAAGCCCTCAAGGCGCAAACTGTTGGAGGGTTTCTAAGGGGTGAAAAGTCCAGCTTTTTTTGTGGGGTTGTTTTCCTGTTCAATACTTGTATGGTTCGCAATTTCGATGTATCTAATCCAGTCTCGTACTGGTCCAATTCAGAATACACCTTTGCATATAGATGAGTTATATTAAATGATATTAATGGAGAGGGCGATGGAGGGAGAGGGAGAGAGAGAGAGAGAGAGATCTAGTTTCATCTAATCTAGTCTAAATATGTCTAAATCTAAATCCAATCTCATCTAATCTAATCCATCCATATACCAGTCTATCTATCCATCTGCCAGTCGATCTATCCATCTATCTATCTATCGATCTACCTGCCTACTATCTATGTATCAATCTACCTATCTACATCTATCTACCTATCCATCTCTATATCTACCTCGTTTGGAATATCCAGGGATCGTTATCCTATGAGTTCACACCTAATAAGTTTATATAATAGTCTATATTAATAAATAAATAAATATATATATATATATATACATATATATATATACATATATATATGTGTGTGTGCAAATATGTGTGCGCATGGGAATCCAAAAGCTCCAAAGTGATTTTCACTGGAATCATTTCAGTCCCGTGCTTCTACCCTCTTTTTGCGTTGCAACGGGTCCACGCCGCTGCCGGTACGCTCTGGAACGGCGCGCAGGGGAAGGTCTCCATTGAAGACATGGTCACCGGTCCGGACAGCATCAACGTTTTGGCCATGGGCTTGAAGACGGTCCAGGAGAAGGTGCAGAGTGCCAATGCCCAGAGCCCCAGACCGGTCCGCGACGCGAAAAACTGAGTTTCGGAAGGGGAAACCATGGATTGGGAAAAGTACGGTTGGGGGGGGCGAAATCGAGGATTCCTGAAAAACCATGAGATAAATTGTCCCAGTAATCAAACATGCCATTCCCCGACACACACACACACGTGTATATATATATACATATATATATACATATATATATATATACATATATATGTGTGTACAACATATAGACATAATTATATATACACATAAACGGATGACGTTCTCATTAAATTGCCACCTTTGATCATGGGAGGTGACCTCCCAAAAAGATCCAGGGCTGAAGCCTGTCATGGGTGGCATAAAAAACATTCGAGGAATGGGATGAGTTGCTAAATTGGGAAAAAACTGTGAATAGACTGCGGGTTATCATCAAATATCACCAATAAGGCAGAAAAATTGTTTCTAGAAATATCGCGGACGGCTTCTGGGCTGCTGGCACGGCAGAGATGCAGTGCGGCAGCCGGGTCTGTGTTCAGGGCATGGGCCGTGAAGCATCTGATGCACGCCTTATGGGCCTGTTGGCCGTAAAGCGGCAAAGATTATCCCGCAGTCTCTTCAAGAGATCCCCAGGGCACTTGAATCGCAGCCCTGGGTAGCTTTTGTGTATGCCCAAATCCTTTGCAGGCATTGACTGTGTGCGGGTAATCAAAAAAGGAAACATGACAGCTAAGTCAGCTAAGTGGTCCAAGGCCAATTGTACAGGGCGCAGCATGGTGCCCTCATCTGAAAATCCAACGTGCCATCAAGTTGAAATGGAAATGAAAACTCCACATCCAAAACTAAAGCAAAAACGAATTCAACGTCACTCAGATCTCGAACCTGTCTTGAAAGCCGCTCCGCCGGCGCACAGCCAGTTGATGATGTTCACCAGAAAAGCGCCAGGCACTGGCGCCTTCTCGTGCATGCATCTGACCTGCCAGTTCACTGGCAAGTTATCCTCATATGGAATGTCAAGCCATTCCTCTCCATCATCAGAAGAGACAACACTCGTGATCCCCAGAAGTGTCATCCAACTATATCCAACTGCTCTTTGTTCTCAGCAACTGCAAAGTAGAACTGGCGCAGTTGACGCAATCTTGTGGTCCAGCTATCCAATGAGCCATGCAAACGCTGAAGGTGATCCCAAAGACTAGGAGGTCTATCCGCATTTACCCACGCAACCAATCGGTCCACCATGTCGTTCCAGTGGAAAACCCAGTCCTCCAAAGCATCTTCTGCCAGTGCCAGCTGCATATGTGATGGTATCCACCGTATGTGTGTGTGCGAGTGCTAGCCCGATCTTGAAGCGCTCTTTGAACACAGCACCACAGGTCATAGTTCTCAACCCCATCTGGAATGTGTGTTTCTAGAAATAATTATGCTGCTCCAGGCTGTTCTATTAATATCTGATTTGGGATGTTACTGGAGCTGTTCAACGACCACTTGTCGTACTTAAGTTGGCAAACCTGCCATGAAGCCATGAGGCCATGAACCATGACGGAGCAGAAATGGCAAGTATATACAGCACTATGTATTAAATGTGAGTCACAATGAGTTGTATAAACCATCAAAATTTGAGGCTTATAGCAGCTTAGCACTCAGTAATTTAACAAGCCAGCTATGGCAACAAAAATATCACCTGTGGGTCGATACAAGTCATAGAGACCATCCAAGATTGGAGCTTTTTTTGTTGGGTGTGTGTATATATATACAATTACAAGAAATCACCATCAAGCATAGGGTTACATAGACCTATATGTTACATGGTTTTAAAGCATATTTGACCATCCATTCAGTTCTAAAATAGGATGATTAGGATGTAATGCGTTGTACGAAGCATTCAAAACTCATTCAAAAAATATATCACTTCATGTAATCATATGTTAAACCCACCATTTATATGGTTATATATGGCTATTCCATGTATTCGCCCGTTGGGATTCGCAGAGTTTAAAAAATTCTCCAGGTGACGGGAGGCCTCCATCGCCTGGCCCAGACGGTGGGTGCCTTGCAAAAAGACACCTCGCAGGCCATTGATGTCCGAAGCTGAGAAGGGAATGGAAAGGTCTGAAAACTGATGAAAAACTGATGTAAAGCGTCGAAGTCCTGGAGTGTGTGAAAAACGATAGATGTTGTTGTGTTCGATGGTTTTAGTTATACTTGCAAGTATTGTTCAAAGAAGATGTGTAGAGAAAAACGTCTACAGACATGCGCTTTTCCCTTCAAACCCGACATGTCAATTGCGATTTGCTCTTCAGCAGTCAGGCTTCGGACAGCCTCAAATCTCTTGCCCAGAAGATGGAAAAGCTCCAGGCATTTGGGTAATCCATGGGCAGGTTTTGCCTGGTTTCCATCACGTGCAAATTCAGGTTTGTGACCATAAGAGAACAAGATACAACAGGGGGTTCTACATCCTGTCCCGCAACAGAACGCACAGAAAAGGGGTGAAGCTTTTGTCATGTTTGGACACCAAAAATCTGCGAGGTGAAGGCAAAGTCGTTCAATGTGGGCATGCCCAGGGTATCCCAGGGAATTTCAGTTGTGCGAAACCTGGGGCTTTCAGCATCTGCTGAAAGCCCCTTGTTGAGCTTTGATGCCGTTGATGCCTTTGCCCTGCAGGATCTGAAATCATTTTGACCCAGTTTTGACCTATCCCCATTCGGAGGTTACCTGTGGTGTTTTATTTTCATATACACTCTGATGAACTAACATAGCAATGGAAAGATCCACCCATTTTTCATGGGAAAATCCACTCTTTCTATGGCCATTTTCCATTGCTTTTTGTATGTTCACCAGAGGGTATTTGTTGCCGGTGCCCTTGGGGATTCACGTCGGACAGCTTGGGGAATTCAAGGTGTCTGGCAGCATCGACAAGTTGGCCAGCCATTTGAACGCCCTGCAGGCTGGCACCCACAGATTGACTGGTCATTTGACCATGCAATTTACCCTCTGGTGAACTAACAAAAAGCAATGGAAAATGGCCATTGAAATAGTGGTTTTTCCCATTAAAAATTGTGATTTTCCATTGCTATGTTAGTTCACCAGAGGGTAAATCAAGTTTGATGGGTCAGACCAGTGCCATGCAATTGAATCAATGGAATCAATGGTGCCATGGGGTGCCACTGAAAAAGAATTACCCCTAGTCACCTGTGAAATGCTCAGTCAAATTCCAATGAGCTGAGAAGTGGAAAATTTGTGGGGGAAAAGTGGTGCTCCTGACCCTAGTCGCATGTAGCGGATGTAGCCGTGGCCAAAGAAGTTCTGGGGAAAGTGCAAAAAAGAATCAAACAGGTCACAGGCGACAGCAGGCCACAGGATTGCTTGTTTTCAGTAGCCCTAGGTCGGTTGATATCATCGCCGGCCCCCCGCAGGATGAATCCGCTGGCTTCAACGTGCCTCGGGCCGACTCGACTAAGACTAAGCGGAGAATCAGTTTTGCTGTGCCGAGTTTGTAAGATATTTAGCTGTTTCAGCATGTCTTCTTCAAATGCTTTAAATCATTCCACACTTCGGTGACCGCGTGATATGGTTGCGTTGTTGTGTTTTTTGTTGTTGGGGCGATGGGGCGGTCAACAGGGGGCCTCGTGTTTTGTTGGAGGCCATTCCAACAGGTCGAGTCAGATCGGCTTTCATTGGAGAATTATGGAGAACCGGTTGCAAAAAAATTATTTCCAGATGATGTGATTAGTGACATTAGTGACCGGTTCTCCGTTTGTTGCACCAGAATGATGGAAGAATCTCCCATCATTCCCCAGGCAGTTCTCCTGGCAGTTCTCTGTTTGATCCCAGTGGTCCATAGTGGTCCCAGGTGACAGCGAGCATCACAGGCATCAACAAATTAGGCGGAAGAATGAACCAGCTGCAGGCCCAATGAGTTGCACGGATGATGGAAATTGATGGAACCAGCTATGGAGCAATATTGAGATAAGATACGGATGTTTCCATGATGTTTTCAAAACCACATAAAGCGTGTTCCCTCCAACCCGGACGTTGCTCCACACCTCAAGAGAATCATCATCATCATCATCATCTTCATCATCTTCATCATCTTCATCATCATCTATATGGTGCTTGATAGGGAATGGGGGAATGATCCAAAGGATCCAATCCATATCCTCAACTTATCTTCATAAAGAGATCAAAATTTGCCACCCCCTCTGACTTATATGTTGATGATAATAAGAACATGAACTTATCTTGTTGAGGGATCAAAATCCGCCACCCCCTCCGACTACTACGTTGACAGGGATCATTACATCAACTTATCTTCCTAAGGGATCAAAAATTGCCACCCCCTCTGACTTATCTGTTGGTGATAATAAGAACATTAACTTATCTTGTTGAGGGATCAAAATCCACCACCCCCTCTGACTACTACCTTGACAGGGATCATAACATCAACTTGTCTTCATAAAGGGATCAAAATTTGCCACCCCCTCTGACTTATATGTTGATGATAATAAGAACATTAACTTATCTTGTTGAGGGATCAAAATCCGCCACCCCCTCTGACTACTACGTTGACAGGGATCATTACATCAACTTATCTTCCTAAGGGATCCAAATTTGCCACCCCCTCTGACTTATATGTGATGTAATATATGATATATGTGCTATGTACTATTATACGACGCGGAGCAACGTAGGGGTTGCAGCGAACGTGTTTAAAACCGAGCAAAGTGTTAGTGATATATAGTATTATACAGTATTATTATAGTGATATTATAGTGATATAAGTTACAAAAAGAGATTCTCTTTGAGACGAACACGGCCACCCAACATAGGTCCAACGTAGCCGGTTATGATGGTGAATGTCCTGAGTTGGCATTCTGGGGCCCAAACCCAGCTCAAGCCCGGATTTTTAAAGCGAGCCGGAAAATGTTCCAGTCTCTGGGGACATAGAATATGGATGAATATGGATGAATATGGTAGAGATAACCTTCTTCCTAAAGCTTCCTTTTAGGGGCGGTAGATACTGTCTCACATTTCACCACTATTCGCCCCACCATCAGACACGCGAGCATCTTTTTCCCATCCAGGAAGAGGCACAAGCCGCGAACGCATCTGGGGCCTGATTTCAATGTTGGCAGATGTTGGCAGGTATTTCGCCCCAACACATTTGAAATGGAGCAGTGAAAAAGCCTAGCAATTGGCGCCTCTAGATTCTCTATTCAACCTAAACATTGTCTTAGATTAACACGTGACCCGCATTTTCATCTCACAAAACCTTGTAGCATCTGAAAAACAAATGCAGGATATTAGGATCAGAAAATATTGATATACGATTCGCAATGATTCGCAGAAGTAACTTTTATAATTATTCGCGAAGAATGGCCGTTTGCAGATGAAAGAATTTAGATCAACCGCCACATACTGATATTCAAGAAGACAAGAACAAGTTTACAATCATATCTGAAAACCTTATCTCTAGATGCCCCTTGGTCGGGGCTAGAACATGTCAACCTGACTTCCAATTCCATCACGCTGAGGTTGGAAAAAACTTGAGCAAAGTAGCCCATCAGCTGCAGAGACTGAGTCTTCGACCACCTGGCGTCTCCACTCAGGTGCCGGATGGTGCCGGCATGGTTTCATAGTTGGTCATGTTAAGCCCGGATTTATGATGGTAGCGGTCACTGACAGGGGCATTACATATCTTGATAGTAATTAATTGGCAGTTTTGGGCCAACCTCCTAATGACCAACGGAATTTGTTCATCCAGGGTTGACACTACATGTCTTACATAGCACAGAGTTGCTTCGTTTGTGGCTGCAACAAGAGCCTGTTTGATTGATTTGTATTGATTTGTTGCCATCGCGTCCAACGATCACTTCACCATTCTTCGAACAATGTAGCCCGGAAATGGTCTCATAATGTCTCATAGTTTCATTCAAAAAATGGACATGGTTTGAAATCATGGAAATCATCTACCTATATCTACTTAAAATCGATTCTAAAAAAAAAACTAAATAGATCACTTTCCGCCTCATTGGTTGTTTCAGGTCAATTTCGTATCGCGCCAAGTCCCATGGTCCAGGCCCTTCCAAGCCCGGCTTTCCAGTTGGGTGCACCGCTTGCAGCCCCCGCTCCGGTACCAGAAGCCAGCTCAGTTCAAGCTATGTGTGGCTTCAGGAGGTCTTCAGCTTTCATCAGTTTTCCAAGTTCCAGATAATTCCAGTAGGTAGCTTTATGTACAACATTCTTACAATGTGCGTGTGTGTGTGCCGTAAACCAGCGGATCTTGAAGCCTGCCTTTCAAAGGCGGAGAACAGCTGACCATTCCTGATCACCCAGGCCTTCACCACGCCCGTTGCCACGGTTGCTACGGAGTCACCAGCGGTAGCGGCTTTGACCATAGCAGGGATGCAAGGGGGATCTTTCAACAGCGACCGAGATTTAGAAGGAGACAAGCCAATCTCCAAGTGGCGAGAAACGAGCATGAGCCAAGAGGAATTGCAGCAGCTGCTCCAAAAGCTACCGCCTCTGAATGTGGAGACCATGACGCGGGTGCTCAGAACAATCTTTCTCTGGACTTCTTGGATACATGAAGATGTCGGACATGCGTGGGCCTCCTTCGTTTACAATCCCATTCACACACCTGGCTTTGTGCCAGAGGATGGACGAGGAATTCCCTCGCCGGCGCTCGTCTATAGGGTGGCCATGTTTCGGAACTTCGTGGCGTTGGAGAGGCACGGGATATCATTATTATATCATTATTATCATGGGATGCCAAAGGTGGAAATGTGAGTCGTCGCACTGTTGATGGAGGATTCCAACGGCCAGGAATAAGTTGGTGGATCCCATAGACAGCAAGATGTTCTCCACCACCATTTGCAACCCGGTGGTGGGGCCTTACTCCTGGACCTCCTGTCAGAACGAAGTGGATGGAATCTCGGCTATGGCACCCGGGTCAATCATGGCGGTCCCCCAACTTTTGGAGGGATAGTATGCATTAATATGCAATATGAATATGCATATATATAAATCATACCGTATCAAAATCAATATCATTACCATATCGTTTCATATCATATCTATGTATATATACATATATATGCAGTAGGCCCTGCAACCCCCCACCCCGTGGGATACCCTTCCTTCCCCCTGTGGTAGTGGCTGTGGTGGGGGGGGCTTATGTAAGTTGGTAATCAATAGATATTAGATGTAACTTGAACATATAGTATAATAATTAATGTACAATATACAGTTTGCATACAGGTGTATAGGTATTAGGATGTATTAGGTATGTACTTTGTTATATCAGGTATATACTAGGTAACCAGGTAACTAAAATCACGAGTAGGTTAGAGGTACGCTACAAGCAATATATAGGTTGTATATAAGCATGCAATAGTTCAATAGGTAGTATATTAGGTATATATATCAGGTGTTATAGGCTGAATATTAGGTATGTAGTGTCAGGTCTATAGGTACGATATGAGCAAAATATAGCTTGAATGTAGGCATGCAATGGGTAATGTATTAGGTGTGTATATATATATATATATATATATTTATATTTATATTTGTGTGCGTGACATAGATATTTGGTTATAGACTATAAAGGTTATATTATTGGTATATATTCTTAGGTATGATATTAGCAATGTACAGGCTGCATCAGGGCATGCAGCATGCATTAGACTAGTTTGCAGGTACTACTATGCGAGATATTGCAGTATTGGTACCTAGGTATCTTAATTAGCAGCATAGAAAGTACAACAAGTATAGCAGGGCAAGATTAGATTAGTATCGGGCATTGTTTGGGATGGGTTGGCAGGAAGATAGGGGCAAGGGGAGGGCAGAGGAAGGGCAGGCTCGTAGTGTTTTTTCTGTGGGAGGGATGCGGGGGTAGCCATGGGAGTATGAGAGTGTGGTACTGAGACAGACGATGGGACCATATATACCTGTACCACCTGAACCAAGAATGTGTTTGCATCTGTTGCATGCCTCGCGCTTGGCTCTTAGGAGTTCTCGCCAATGCCTTCACAACTTTCCAGTTTCGAGCCTAGTCACGCTGCCACTTTTGATGACTCAGACCTGGCTTGGTAGTGCGCAATGGGAAATGGAAAACACCCAACCCATCCCACCCCCCCTTGGCTCATCTTGGCTCATTGTTTGGTCTAAAGCATCGAGATTTTGGGATGCCAAAAAGTAGAGAAAGATGGATCAAGCAGCCCATATCCGTATGTCTACTGAGGAAGAAACTCAGGCAGTTGGGGCAACAAGAAGTCTTCGCTGAGTTCGCGCAGCACGGTCTTTTCAGTCGGGTAGACGATGTGGAATCCTCCGCATCGAGTTGAGCTGGGGGTGTCCCTGATCGATACTAATCCATCCCCCTCATATTATTTTACCTCCCATAACTGGCCCCTTAAATGAACAGATCCAATACTCAATTTCGAAGGGGGGATGTTCAATACTAAGGGGGCTCGAAGGCGTCCTCCAAAATGGACACAAGTGGCCAGCATCTTTTGTGGCCCGTGGTGGGCCAAGCACATCATCGGGACTCCCAGAGGTTGAACTGTTGTTCGAGTCTCCTGCTAGCAATGACAGCAGGGGTGTCTCACCCAAGTGCCGCCATGGTGTCTTGGTTCAGGACCATCATGTTGCCCCGAAATCCAAATGTGCTGCGGGTAGTTCATTGGAAGCACCTAAAGAGTCATTGGGTGTCAAATTTTGGAAGACCCTTCGAATGAGGAGTTCAACGACAGCCAAAACAAGGTCTACCTGGTCTACCTTTAACATCCCTTAACCATAGGTTCTGGGTGGTTCTGGTGCATTTGCTCCAGAGGGTCCTTTGGGCTATTTCATGGCGACCGTTTTACTTGGGCAAATCGTCACCTTTTTTTCTCGGAGGGCGAAGAAAATCAAGCAGGTTTATCCATTTGGGTTTGACCTATGCATACATACATACATAATCTACCACCCTCCCAAGGCCCACCTTTTCAGATTGGAATCACGCCACCAAAATAACCATATGCACGCAATGTATAGAGAGAGAGAGAGAGATCCCTCTCAAAAAGCTTAAAAAGTAGACAAAAGTGAAGAACAAAGTAAAACAGTAGAGTAGTAGAGCCCTTTAATCTAAAGAAGCAGCATCCCTACAATATATAAAGCATTCCTATAAACATGTAGTGTTCCTTTCTGAAGAAGTGCAGGCTTCCCAGAAAATTGTTCAGCCAGCGTTCAATCATGCAGTATTTCTTTCAAAACACCCTTTATTTCTACACAATATGCAGTGTGTGATTAACAAAAAAAGTAGTGCTGTGGAAAAAGTGCAATGGTCGATGCATGCTGGAGCATTCCTTGAAAAAGAATGCTTATTGTTAAAAGAAAATGCCTTGACAAGATGGTCCTTTAAACGAAAAGCGCTGTTCTTGCAAGAAAACTATAAGTGTGGAAAGATGAAATACATTTAATGGAGCTCAGCCTTCTCGTTTTTCTTGTATGATCATTCTTTAAGGAAAGACTGAAGTTCTTCAAAATCCTTGTCCTGACGAGGTATTCCCTTAAATAAGATGCAGTAAAAACTTGTACAAAAGCACTTTTTATGTGGACAGATGCATCGCATCCAATGAACTTCGGCCTGCCTCTCATTGTTTCCACATGACATGTTTCTTTCTTCAAAACAATGTTGCCTATTTTGGAACAAATCGTTTCACTGAAAAAAAGGCATATTGCACACATACAACCATGACCTGCATCTATCAAAAAATTCTACATACACCCAAGGGTTCTACTTCATAGTAATGTTTCTCCGTATTATTGCCTGGTTTCAACCAAATGGTCCGCTCCCTTGTGAAGGAGGCTTTGCACATACTTGCAGCGACACTTTCTTTACCACAGTCGGTCAAAATGGTTATTTAAAGGATTCCATTCTGTCGCAGCGTTGTCCTCCTTCCAGAATTTCCTTTACCTCTTCAACAAAGCTTCGCACAGCCGCACAGCTGTAACTCTTTTTGAAAATAACTCTATATTCCTTTCAAAGGCATGCTGCACTCCTGTATGTAAGGGGACTGTACAAAATGATGTCACTTTATGCAAGGAATGCTGCGGCTTCATGCAAGGAATGTCATATTCTTTGAAAGATACTGCTGCACAAGGCCTACATTGCAGGGTTTGCTTTGACAGCAAACTTCAAAGTCCATGCTGAAACTTGTGTACTTATTATATTCTACTCTTGTCTGTCTTGTAGTTCTTCCCATGGTTTAAGTGATTTTCTGAGAGGGTGCTCAAACCATGAGAATACCAAAAAATGCACACCTAGATGATGTCCATGAGAGGTGGCTGGGTAGACACGGTGTCTGATTTGATCTGCATGTTTGCAAGTGTGTGCTTTGCTTACCAGCCCATTTAATTAAGATATATGCAGTAATCTGCAATATTATGCAATATCTTGTTGAACCTCTGCTGCTACTCTTAAAGGATGTGGATATGAATTACAACAAAACCTCGAAACAACAAAAAAACTGTTCAGAGAATGTTTGGCCTGGACTTCATGCATTGTTTTTGTTGGTGTTACCTCAGTTTTTTGCTTTTTAGTCTTAATATCTTTAAAAATACAAAAAGAAACATTGCTTTTGCTTTTAGATAGAATGATGGTATTGAAAGGCTGCAAAACCACAAAATCTCAAAGGACATGTCCTTCGCAGAACAGCTGGGCATTCAAGAAATTGCAATTTATGGTGGCTGACAGTGCTCTACGGACCTGGATTCAAGATTCAACCCTCAGAACAAGCTTCGTTGATCCAGTCTCTTTGGATTCAAGATTCAAGATTCGAGGCGAACAAACTTCTTGGATCCAGCCTCCTTTTTCTGGATCTTGAATCTTGAATCCGGCCCCCTTGGATTCAAGAAGTTTTTCTGGATCTTGAAGCTTGCATCCGATGTAGTATGGGAAGGGTGGGATTGCAGCAAGTTTCCAAAAAATGCATTTGTTTGACCCCCGAAAAATTCCCTAAGTTTTGAAGTTTAAGCAATACCTGCGTGAAAAACATGTAAATACCGCCAAATTCGCTAAATTGGTTGGTTTTTGGGGTCGGGGGCACCTTATATATATGTGTGTGTGTGTGTTTATATATACATATATATATATATGTTTATATACATATATATATATACACATATGTTTATATATGCACGTTTATGTATATATATATATGTGTGTGTGTGTGTTTATATATACATATGTATATACATATGTTTATATATATATACATGATTATATACATATATATATATACATATGCATTTTATATTATATTATATTACATTACATTACATCATATTATATATATGTGTGTGTGTAACATCTGAACAGATGTAAAACTTCTATTGCTCTAATCTTTTCACATTTGCAGGGGGGCAATCTCATGTTTGCAGCTGATTGCCCAACGAAGAGGGCTGCATTCATGACTGATATGACTCTGGGACGCTGGAGTCACGTACCTGCTATTTCAATTTTGACTGACATGGCACGCGGCCAAGCCTAGAACCGCACGGCTGTATTTTCACTTCACGGTTGACGCAATCTGGAATCAATTTTGACATTTACATGCATCAGAACCTTCCTCAGTTTTTCGCCGAAATCATGTCGCCGACAGTATTTTGAATTTTTGCCTTATTTCGCCGAAACCATGTCGCCGATGTATTTCGCTTATTTCGCCGAGATCATGTCGCCGATGTTCCTGTGATTATTTTGAGAATCTCCTGCCGAATCATTATTATTATTTTTTTTTGGAATTTCAACATCCTGGTCAATCTTTGTGAAATCTGGTTTAAACTCCGTTTGACAACATTGGATGCTCTACCTCGTTTTCGAGAAGTACTACAAGGGTCTCTACTGTAAATCTAATGGTCTAGGCTGGTTTGCATGTTTCAGGATTCAGTTCCTGCCGGATCATATAATGATCCATTCTTGTCTAGTGTGATTTCCATGGTGGCTCCGACATGGTGCCATGGAGCCATTTGAGGCAACCCTTTTTAGGGTGAGTGACGACTAACCTGACTGCCGAATTAACACATTTGAAGCTGGTAATTCATCTAAGTAAATCGCAACAGTTGGCCTTGCGGTTTTGCACCTTTGAAGACGTCCCGCGGCTCCTGTGGTCCCAGGGATCCTAGTGTTTTGCACTCTGTCAAGTGAAGCCATGCCGAACTGCCAGAAACCTCCGTTTTTTGCAGCAACCTTTGCAGCTACACGAAATCATGTCAAGACACTGTGAACAGGCAGGCACACGTCTTTCAGGTGTGGTCTTTTTCCTTTTGGTTGTCTGGTGAGGTGAAACATGTTGTGCACCTAATTCGATGGAACTTGAAAGCCGTCTTATGCCCTCGTGGCTGACTGGAACACGGGCCTGTTGTGGCACAATTGCACGAACAGTAGGTTTAGGAACTGAGTCCTGTATGTGAATTTTCATTATTTTTCATTATTTTTCTTGAGCGATGTACCCGTGGACCACTCCTCCGACGTCATGGCCTGCTCCACCGCAGCCTACGACTCCATCTTCGACGTGGCCGCAATCATCGCAGAACGCACATCTATTCGGACATCCCTCGCCATTGCATCCTACATGGTCTTCCTCAGCTTCGCTCGTGCCGTCGGCCTCGGCCCCAACATCGCTGCCATTCACCTCATTGACTTCGACTCCTCATGCAGTACCACGCCCACAACTTGTACCCA